ACTTCTTCTTGGATTAAGTTAACTTGCTCTTGTGTTTCAATCGAGCCAAGTTTTGCCATGTTATCACATATTATGCTCAAAATTGACTGTAGATCATTCTTATCTAGTTGTAAAGCTGCCATATTCACATTTTCCAGTTTAAAACTCTCATCAACGACTGTGATTAGTTCATGAATTCTAAAAATGTCATTCTTTAGGGCAACTTGGACAGGCCCAGCACTTTGTTGTCTAGCTTTCTGTTCGATTGTTGTCTTTACACTAACAAATACACTCCTAGCTTCTTCATAGCACCTTTTTACATTGTCTCTGTAAGTCATAATGTCTTCACCATTAACTACACGGTGTTCAGGGTATTTTTCGTCAGATACAATAAGTTCGTATTCCTCATTTATAACGCAAAAATCATCAAATACCTTTTCAAGTTCGAACATTGAATCCTTTAAAATATCATATTCGCAATCTCTGTTGTAGGCTCCAATCAGACGCCTCGCAGCGACAGTGACCGCCATTTTAGCCTTGCTTCTTTCTTGTTTTTTATCTTCAACATTCATGGCTGATTCCTGGATTTGTCTTCAAGCAATACACAAGTTTTGGGCTGCAAAACTCCTTTGTATTTAGGCTTCTTCACAATTCTGGAATGCCACAGCGAACGTTAGTGTTTTACTGTACTGGGATTGCCAGTAAATGAGGCGAAAAACAGGTTTCAACTCACTTTAATTATCAAAATATGGAAAATTACAAAATAATAGATTTAGATAAAACACTGTTTTCCTTCGCACGCCATATTAGCTCCTATGCGCATGCTCTAACAAAACGTAAATAAACATCGTTCAAAAGGCGATCGCAGAGATTATTGTCTACAACTTTACTACAACCCAATACACCAATTACTTTTTTATGACATGAAGATTGTTCACACAACGATTTGAGTTTGTAGTTAATGGGATCTAATCATGATCCCCGATTGTATCTTTGCGGGAGGTCTGACTAAGGGAAAGTATATTTATTATGCCGAGGGG